GGAAGGTAGAGGGTATTTCAATGGTGCCTTCGATATATAGGATCTGCAAAGTCCTTTTCAAGCAGATTTATCATATTTTGCAGCATTTGCAACCGCTGATCAGTTGTCTTGCATTGAGTTCTACCTTGCTTCTTCTCCAATGAACTTTCTCAATCAAAGAAGTTCAGCAAAAGGGATCATCCTATTTGTCTAACAGCACACATGTCTTCCCCACTTCAGCCCTCTTAGCTCTTTCAATCCATTGAAAAGTTGGGATATATCAGCTTCACAAACTTAAATTATTGAAGACATGTCAGCTTCACAAACTTCAATAATTAAACACAGCAACATTGATGGAAACTGGTTATCAGCAAGTATATAAACACCATAAAAAAAATGATCATGGGTCTTATTTGCCTAGTGCTCAGGTAGTCTTTTAAAGGTTGAGAAGCAACAAGTCCAAGCTTCTTCAATTCACTTACCTTACCTCCCTTGGATTCTGTCCATTGAACTCAAGAGGGGAAAAAAATGAAAAAAGAAAAACAAAGATTATGTAAGAAACTTAATTTGACAGGAAAATTATCAGCTTGACCATTTTGGGTTTCTAGTTATTTCTTTTTTCCACAGAAATTTTCACTGAGTTTGGAATGTAACTGCAACTGTTTTCTGAAACACCCTTCAGTAAATGTTCTTTGGAGTGTTTGCAGCTGGCATGGCAGCAGCAGGACACGATTAAACATAAGCTTGGCATTTACAATACTAACAAAAGATCATATATAGCTTTATGAGCAGGGCCAAGGTTTTTTTTTTTTTTTTGGACAATGACAATGATGAAGAGCAGTATTGGGAAAAGGCCACCAGCTACAGTTGCTATGGCTATCATTGCCAGAGTGGAAGAGCATCAGTCCAAGGAAGCTGAGTCTGCACATCTTTGGTTCTTTCTTTGATGGTCTAAAGATTTTTCAACCTCCCCACCCTTCAAAATTGCAAGTCAAAATGGTTTCTTTGGAAGTTTTTCATTTTAACAGTTGCTGTTAAAAGAACTCAGTTTCTGCATGCACCTATCTTCACACCCTTGACTTGAAAAACAAAAGAAACATGAAAGATTTAGTCAAATACTTGACTTAAATCACAACAAGAAGTAAAAAGGACATAGTATAATACAAATATCTATACCAATATACATCATTTTATCCAATTTATTGCATATATATATATATGTACAGGATTTAATCAAAGAAAAAAGAACTAGAATAATTAATTTAGTCAAAATATGCACATTGATCAGATTGTACCTAATATGAACCTAAAAATAAATGCTTTCAATGGCTGCTTTTTTTATCTTTTTACATATATTTGATCTAGGCAATGATTAGTTTCCTTTGAATGATGCTTGTGTCTTGTTGTTTTTCTTATATTGAAAATGAATAAAATAAATTCAAAAATAATAAAAAGGAATCTTATATATTAAATATTAATAAAAAATATTACTCCCAATTTCTAAACTGACCCTAAACAAAATTATTTGGGTAAAAAAACCAAAATTTAGTTGTCCAGAGCACTTCCCATAACCCAAAAATGGATCCTTTGCCAACTGCCAGCCTTTGAAACCCTTTTGATTTGGAGCCCTTGGAAGCTGACCCTCACACCAACCCTTCCCAAAAACCAGCAAAAACCTGCAAACAAGAGAAGAATCAAGAAATGGCTACATTTTCCATTAACAGCTACACTTTCTCTTTTAATCTCCCAATCTTCATCTTTCTATTCCTTGCAGCAAAACCCATTTCCTTATTTGCCCAACAAGCCCTTGATAACAACCCAAGCTTTAGTCCCCACATTTTCCTCTTTGGTGATGCCAGGGTTGAAGATGGAGGCTCCCATGTTCGGCTCACGTGGCCTCACGCGCCAAGTTCTGGACTTTTGTTGCTGGACAAGCCCTTCAAGTTCGCCGATGAAAGGAATGTGGGTAGGCCGACGTCGTTTGCAGCTGAGTTTTCCTTTTCTTTGTCTCCTGGTAAGGGTGATGGTTTAGCTTTTGTTATTATTCCTAATGGTTTTCAGACAAGGTTTCAGGATCAAGGGTATTTTGGCCTTTTTGGTGAAAATAGGTTCCTGGGTATTGAATTTGATACAAAGAAAGATGATAAAGTTGGTGACTTGAATGCAAATCATGTAGGAATTGATGTTGGAAGTCTTGAATCTGTTAAAGTTAGCAATTTGTCATCTCTGAATTTGGTGTTAAACAATGGGGAGATATTGAAATCCTGGGTTGATTATGATTCAAGCTCCAAACTTTTACAAGTTAGATTGAGTAAATTGAATGACAAGAGGCCTTTCACTCCAATTCTAGCATACCGTATTGATTTGTTTGAAATGTGGGGTAATGAGGATGTTTTTGTTGGTATAATATCAACAACCAATGAGGAATCTTCACCGAGTAGTAGCAATGTTTATTCATGGAGATTTAGGGTGAGGGATGTTTCTAGTTGGATGCATTCATTGCCTGCGGATCCACGAGGTTATGTGGATAAGGATAGTCAGGAATTTAGAGCTGAAAGGAGTAATTTTTGTGCTTTGACAATTTTAGCTGGATTAATTTTTGCTACCGGATGTGGAGCCTTGTTGGCTTTTGTGATGCTGTTTATGTGGGCAATTTTGGTTAATAGGCACACAGTATTCCCGGTCGAGTGTCAAGCAGGTCCTGAAGATTTCAGGTATGAGAAGGTCAACGTGATTGTAGAGAAGGATGATCAAGGTGATAAGGATTAGAAGATGAAGCTTATTATGTTAGGATGTGAATTTTCTGTTGTTGTTGTTGTTACTAACTTATATGTGACAAACATTGTATTTTGTTTTGGTGCATTGTTGTATGTAGCTGTAATGCAATGTAGTCCTGTTTTCACTGTAGCACATTCTGATGTATGAAAACCATTTTAAAACATATAAGTGTAACCCTTAATGCCACTAATGGCTATTTTGTTGCTCAGATCTAAGGCATATGGTATATTTTTCTAATTGCAAAGATCTGTTGCTTAGACTTAAGTTGTATCTTTTATATGC